CCCATCCACAGCTTCACGAACCCCAAGATTCTTCTCTTCCAGAAGTATGAGGACTGTAAGCAGCTGAAGTTGGAGTAGACCGTAAAGGTGCTGAATTCAAAAGAGAATCAACAACTCAATTTAAAAATTTTCATCCAGGTTGAAAAAGATGGACGAGTAGGGGATTGAACCCTGGGCCTCCTGTATGCAAAACAGGCGCTCTACCACTGAGCTACACGCCCTGATGACTCCTCTCATCGTGAGAGCACAACCGCTATTTTTTTCTTTAATTGATAACCCCTCGCCTTATTCGGATAATGTTTATAATAATAATAATTTTCTCCCCCCAAAATAGATTACGGAATTTGTTTTTTTTTTTTTTGGTGTTATTTGGAGTTAACGAAGTTGCCCTCAAAATAATAATAATAATAATAAAGGATTCTGTTTAGAGTTTAAGTCTTCTCTTTATTATTAGTGGTTTTTTAAGGTTACCTGAAAATAGAGCTTTTCATTGAAAACTTGAATTGAGACTATATTTCAACTGTGCCAAGATTGCATGCCCCTTCACAAAGAAGAATACTCAAAGAGAAGAAAAGGAAAATGTTATTTTTGTTTAAAGGTAGTTTCTACATCCCCTTTAGTAAAGAAAATAATTATTAATGATATTCCCAGGAATAATAATAATAATAATAATAATAAATATAAAAAACCAAACTCAACGTTCATCAACATTATATGCTTAAATACCACATAGATATTCCTTCAGTATTTTTTTTTTTAGAAATCGAATACGCTTGCACGCTTGCACTGACCAACCCAAACTCAAAAAAGAAAAAAAAAGAAAGAATCAAAAACTGTAAAAACACACACAAAAAAAAAACAATAAAAATATCAATTGGTGGAGTTAATTCTTCACCAAAGGACCTTTTAGTGCCATGAAGACAGACTTGGTCTCTGTATAATGCTGAAGAGCTTGATCACCCAATTCCCTACCAATACCACTTTGTTTAAATCCACCAAATGGCATAGAAGCATCAAAGCAATTCCAGCAATTTACCCACACCGTACCAGCCTTTAAAAATGAGGAACAGTACATAATCTTTTCAATATCAGGCGTGCAAATACCAGCAGCGAGTCCATATGTTGTGTTGTTAGCACGTTCAATAACCTCATCCATTGTTTTAAATTTTATTACACATACCACAGGACCAAAGATCTCCTCTCGTACAATCGTCATTTTATCATTAACCCCTGCAAATACGGTGGGTTTCACAAAGTATCCACGCCCAGCACACCGTTCTCCACCTGTTACCACAATACCTCCTTCTTTCTTACCCTTTTCAATGTATTCAAGGACACGTTGATGTTGCCTTGCAGAGATAAGTGGTCCAAGATCATTAGCAGGATCATTACCAGGACCAATGCGGCGGGACTCTGCCAACACCCGAAGTTTCGCCAGAAATGCATCATGTACACTCTCATGAACAAATATCCGGGATGATGCTGTGCAGACTTGTCCCATATTAAAGTAAATACCATGCGATGCGACATCGGCGGCAGCATCAAGATCGGCATCTTCAAAGACAATAAGTGGTGATTTTCCACCCAACTCCAGTGTTACCCGCTTTAAGTTACTCTCCGCCGCCATTCGCATAATTTGATGCCCCACAACAGTAGATCCTGTAAAGGCAATTTTATCCACATCCTGGTGAAGTGCCAGTCGTGCCCCGGCGGTTGCCCCGTAGCCTGGGAGAATATTTAACACACCTGCTGGATAACCGGCTTCCATGGCGAGTTCACCGAGACGCAGTGCCCCCAGTGGGGTTTGCTCAGCGGGTTTAAGTACAACAGCATTACCCATTGCCAACGCTGGTGCGAGTTTCCATGCTGCCATTAGGAGTGGGAAGTTCCAAGGGATAATTTGTCCACACACACCCACAGGCTCACGCTTTAAGAAGGCAAAGTTCTTTCCAGAAACAGGGAGAACTTGACCACAGACCTTATCTGCCCATCCAGCGTAGTAGCGGAAACATTCCTCCACCAACATTAAATCAACATTAAGGGCTACCGTATAGGGTTTACCATTATCAAGACATTCAATAGCCGCAAGTTCTTCACGATGTCGGTGAATAGCATCAGCGAGTTTAAGCATGAGAGCACGACGGTAGGCTCCATCTGTGGTGCGGTATTCATTAAATGCCTTGCGGGCTGCAGTAACGGCGATATCTACATCCGCCTCCGCCGCCTCCGCCACGTGTGCACAAACCTCCTCCGTTGCTGGATTCACCACATCAAATGTTTTTCCCGAAACCGCAGGTACAAATCTGCCGTTGATAAGTAACTTGTCTTGCAAGCGCTTAATAACAGGCGGTTTGTTGGTAAAGAACTTTGTGGTAGCGCGGAACATGTGTCTGTTTTACCTGATATATAAAAAAGAAAGAAAAAAACAAACATGTCATGGAATTAAATGAAAATAACAGTAGAGATTCAAGTTCATATGTGGTAACCATCAATGATAATGATAAAACAAAAACGAAGAAAATAATGGCACAGGGTTTCCCTTTCTTTTTTTTTTTTTTCTTCCAACCACTTTAACTCAGATCCCTCTGCCTTCAATGTACGTATATACCTTTCTTTCTCTCTCTCCCTCTCTCCCTCTCTCCCTTCTCGTGATAGCAAAAGAGTAAAAGAGAGAGATATATTCCCCCGCATTTTTTTAAAAAAATGAGAATAACAACAGAAAAAAAAAAGGAGCTAAACTCCTGCCTTGAGGCAGTATAAAGATAATATCTTCTTCCTCCTCCTCTCCCTCTTCTTATTCCCTTGCAAATAATAAAAAAAAGGAATCTATTTCGCTAAATAAATAAATGACTCATTGTATTTTTCAAAAAAACAAGAATCAGTCCTAAACGCAAATGGTTTTCCTAATACTACATAGCGCGAATAGTTCCCCCTTGACCCATATTGCTCCTACTACCATACGTATTCTCCTTTATTATTTTTTTTTTCTTTTTTTTTCTCTCATTTGCGTAAATATCATTTAACAATTAACTGAAAGCTCTAAGAATTCAGAAATAAACTCATTTCCATGCACAACGGAAAAAAAAAAACAACGATTCACATACATATGTACCCTACAGGCATAGCTGTAAGATAATATAATAATAATAATAATAATAAAAACACACACAAAAAAGAAAAAAATGGTAATATGGGATAATAAGAAATTAAGGAACGGATAGAGTGAAAAGGGCAAATTCAGTGTGTTTATCGCTTTCTTTTTCCCTTCTCCCCCCTTTATCTCGCTTATTTCGTATAATAGGAGCGCAAGAAAAAAAAAGGAAAAGAAGGGAAAAAAAAAGGACGGAAGAGTGTTCCCACACCTATTTTCACCTTTCCCCGTGTACTCTCCAGGGAGTAGAAATACAAGAAAACAAACAAACAAACACAAAAAAAAAAGATCTGGTGGTAGACAGATAAGGGGTAATGTTTTCTCTTTCTCTTCTCGCTGGTATTACTAGTACTTCTGCTATTTCCCTTCCACTACTATCATACCACCTGATACAAATCACATTTCTCTCTTCCATAAATATATATCATCTCTCTCTCTACAATTACTCGGCCCTATTCTTCTCTCTCTTTTCTTCTTTCTTTCTTTCTTTCTTTCTTTCCTTCTTCTTTTCTGTTTATTAAGCCGGAATGTAGAACTTGTGTCTGCCAGAGGAGGAGGCCTCACCAATTACTGTGGCGTACTGATCACTGTACTGCCAGACGTGGGACATGTGATCCCACGGGGAGTTGTTAATGGCCTCCTCCCACTCCTTATTCACCACCTTACGCCAGGTCGGGTTATTCGCCGGTGTGTAGACACAATAGTAATAGCGGAGAACAGAGAAGATGGCACTGCCAAGCACCGCCAATGCGCCTGCCACTTTAATCGCCGCATAGCGTGGCAGTTTATTTCCCTCACCAAAGAATTTATCCGAGACTCGCATAGCGACAACGGTGTCCACGGCATCTTTATATTGTTGGGGATCTTTAAAGTGGGCGAGGGCCTCTGGATGATAATAAACCTCCCGGCGTACATTCAGAACGGAGCGGAATGAGAAGGAACTCATGTTTGGCACTCGAGAGCGGAACTCTGCGAGGGTTGTGGCGGGAGCCCAAGCACCAAATGGACGTGGCATTTTTTTTTTTCTTTTCTTCTTCTTTTTTTTCTTTATGTAAATAAATAAATATAAATATGTTTGTTAGACGCTTTAAAGTATACTTTTCTTTTTTTCTTTTTTTCGTTTTAATCTGTCCGTTTATTTTTTTTCTCTTTCTTGCACGGTAGAGATAGCAGCAGGGCCTAATACTATAAGCATTTGAGGAGAAATGGATTCATAAAAAAAGGAAAAAAAAAGGGAATGAATGAAAAACCATTTTGAATGGATCACCAATATATATATATATATATATATATATATATATATATATATATAGTGTAGTAGTTATATATCACGTTTAAAGAAAGAATAAATAAATAAATAGTTCCCCTATTCATTTCTTTTATAGTGTATATGTGTGTTTGCAGGTGTTTTCTTCTTCCTCTTCTTCTTTTCCTTTTCTTCTTCTCTTTCGCTTGCCTTAAACGCAACAAATCAACACTGCAATGGTGGTAATATGTGAAAAATAGAAAACAGCACAATCTTTCAATGATCAGCATGACTCTATTCCCACATATATATATATATATATCCACACACACACACACAAATACATTATAGACTATCTCATTCATTCACTATCTCTCTCTTTCTCTCTATTTCACACAAACACATACACACAAACACAACAATAATAATAATAATAATAACAATAACAAAAAAGTCCTTATTTTAGCTTCAGCAGTTTATCGTCGTCTTCATTGCTGATACAAAAAAATAAAAATAAAGGACTGATTCCTAATTCCTACGAATAGGAGTGCAAATACAAACAAATACATAAACAAATAAAATAAGTAGTTAAACTACACGAACTCACTACACTCCTAAAAAAATAAAATAAAATAAATAAAAATACAGTAAATAAATAAATAAAACATCCCCATCCTACCTACCGAATTTACCTTCTATTTTCCTTTTGTTTTGATTCTTCTCAATTAATCCCTCTTCTCTATACTGCTATTTTCCCTTTTATAGCAACAGACCTAGCCACCTTTTTTTTTTTTTTTCTCCCTCTCAATATTCCCAGTAAGGGAGGAAGAAAATAAACCAATTTCTCTCACTCTCATTCTCTCTCCTGGTTTATTTGTATACAATTCTGTCTATTGCTTCTCTCCCAAATATCCCAACAGACACACACACACACACAAAGACAGACACACACTCTCTCTTGCTGCTGTTATGGCTGACTACAAGTATTCGAATTAATGACCTGTAATCCCCCAACACATTTAATATAATACCATTAACACCCCACTCCACACAAGAAAATAATAAAAAGAAAAGGTAAAGTGAGAAACAGAGAAGTGTGTCTCTGTCTGTGTCTAACGGGATAATAATAGGGGTTTGAGAACAAGAAAGAAAGAAAGAGCAAATCTGTTGCGTATACATACATACATACGTACACAGACCACATATCCTAATCTCCATTCACAAGGAAAAAGGAAAGGAAATAAATAAAGAAAAAAAAAAAAAAAAAAAAACCACGTCCTTTGAACCTCTTCCATAAATATCTTCTCTCTCTACAATTACGTGGCCCAATTCTTTTCTTTCTTTCTTTCCTTCTTCTTTTCTGTTTATTAAGCCGGAATGTAGAATTTGCGTCTGCCAAAGGAGGAGGCCTCACCAATCACCGCAGCGTACTGATCACTGTACTGCCAGACATGAGACATGTGATCCCACGGGGAGTTGTTAATGGCCTCCTCCCACTCCTTATTCACCACCTTACGCCAGGTCGGGTTATTCGCCGGCACATACACCCCATAGTAATAGCGGAGAACAGCAAATACAGATACCGCAAAGGCAGCCATAATGACTGTCAGTTTCATAAATGCATGACGGGGCAGTTTATTTCCCTCACCAAAGAATTTATCCGAGACTCGCATAGATACAATGGTGTCCAGGGCATCTTTATACTGTTGGGGATCTTTAAAGTGGGCGAGGGCCTCTGGATGATAATAAACCTCACGGCGTACACGAGGTAATAAGAGGAAAGAAAAGGCTCTCATGCCTGGCATGCGTGCACGGTACTCTGCGAGAGTTGTGGCGGGAGCCCAAGCACCAAATGGACGTGGCATTTTTTTCTTCTTTTTTATATAAATAAATAAATAAAAGTGTTTTTTTTTTTTTTTGGTTTTATTCTACTGGTTTGCTTTTGTTTTTTTTGTTTTTGTTCTGGCTTTACCTTTTAACAGTAAGCTACCTACTCCTTTGTCTTTATCTGAAGTAAAAAATGAAATGAGAAAGAAAACAAAGAAAGAGAGAGGTATATAGATATAAATATATACATATAAATAAGAAAGAAGAAGATAAATTATAGAGAAACTAATTCTTCTTCTATTTATAAAAGGATCCAAACAGAAAGAAAAGAACAAAAAAGAAAAAAAAAACAGGGGGATAAAGCATCAGATGTGTCATCGTGAAGAGACATACACACGGGTGAATTGTACTCGTCATTAGGTTCCCGCTCCAAAATAAATGGGGCATTGATAACTTTACCAATGCATTCATCTTTGTTTTGTTTTGTTTCTTTGTTTGCTGAAGGTTTTTGTTTTTTTATTTATTTTTTTCTTTTCTTTTCTTTTCTTCTTTGCTTTCTTTCTTTCATTTTCTTTGTTGTTTTTATTTGGATTTTTATTCCCGCTGCGAATGAGTCTGTTCGAATACAAGCAAAAATACTCCAAAACGTGGAAACATGGGTAAATAAAAGAGAAAGAGAGACAAACAGATAAACAGATAGAAGAGAAAAGTAATGAAAAAAAGAAAAAAAAAACAAAAAAGAGAAAAAAATGGAAAATAATAGGGGATAACATTCCATAGTAATACCCCATAACAGTAATAATAATAATAAAAGATAAAAAGAACTCCACATTTCACATCTGATTGCAAATATTGCTCCTCTCATCCTTTCCTTCCTTCTTTTTTTCACCCCACAAATACCGTAATCATATAAACGCCTCTCTCTCTCACTCTACCACACTCCATAAATGATATCAGCAATAGTAATAATAATAATAATAATAATAATAATAATAATAATAATAATTCTGACAGTAGCATTATCATCTCATAAACATAAACACAAAGAGATAAACAGAGATATGCTCATCGCTCTGGGGCCCCACTAATGATATTATATGGTACTCCACTTCGTGTGGGGGATGTACGGCGTCTGGCCCCACAACTAGCCGCACAAATCTCCGCAGAAGAGACCGGCTTCGCAGGCGACATTCCTCTCGTGCCCGTTTCTTGTTTTTTCGCCCGGAATTCCTGATCTCGCATGTATTCCTCATATTGTAATTCGTATGCAGTTTTATGTCGTCCCTCTGTTGCCCCTGATGAGGAGGAGGAGGAGGGATGTAATGGTCCTCCTGTCGTCTTCTGTGCAGTAGATTGTGGATGCTGTTGTTGTTGTTGATGTTCTTTCTGTTCTTTTAATAATAATTGTTGTTGTTGTTGTCTTTGTTGTTGTTGTTGTTGTTGAGAGGCGTATCCTTTATGTAAAGGTTCTAAATTTCTACACTGCCGTCCCCGCGGCTGCCAACGATCAAAGTATCTGTGAAACACCACAAAGTTATTAGACTGTGGTGTATACTCTACCAATCCATAATATTTTCGTAGGAAGGAAAGAAACTTCACACTTGGGCGATCAATCGCCACCTCCTCTGGTCTAAGTCCCTCATGGGATAACATAAAGTCAAATAACATCTTTCCAAATCCCTGTCGTTGACAAGAGGTCTCCACAAAGAAATCCAACACACACAAGGGATCCATCTCCACCAATCCCCGCTGGGATGGATGTGTGATGAATAACTTCTTCACCCCCACCTTGAGAATCCCAACGCCATGGCCATCATGACAGGCTAAATATAATCGTGCCTGTCGGTTCTCACGTAGGCGGGCCACAGAGGTGAGAACCGTATGGAGTGATTGGGCCTCTTTACTACGCACGCCGAGAATGTTGATGGTTTGCATTAAACGATCGGCGTGTCCATCGGCGTTGTGGAGTCGACGTTCATCGTCCAGGGCGGCGCCATCCCACGCCGTCACGCCGTTGGGGAGCTGCAGCAGCGGCAGTGAAGAGGATGAGGGGCCGTCCGCTGGGGGGGCGTACGTCATTGGGAATCCAACGTACTAGAGTGTGTGTATATATAAATAGATAAATAGATAGATAGAGATGAGAGGGAGTGAATTCTTTTCTTTTCTCTTTTTGTTCTTTTGATTGTTTTTTCTTTTTTTTCTCACGCTCTCTTCTTTCTTTTTTCTTTTGTGTGTGTGTGTGTGTGTGT